TTTTTTAATGTTTATTTATTTTTGAGAGACAGAGTGTGAGTGGGGGAGGGGCAGAGAGAGCTCATTTGAGGCAGGCTCCAGACTCTGAGCTGTCAGCACAGAGCCCGACACAGGGCTTGAACTCACAAGCTGGGAGATCATGACCGGAGCCGAGGCTGGATGCCCAACCAAGCCACCCAGGCGCCCCTCTTATTTCTTAATAGTTACAGAGTTTCTGTTTGGGGTGATGAAAAGATTTTGAAAATAGACAGTGGTGATGGTTACACAACATTATGAATGTAATTAAAGCCACTGGATCGATCATACACTTAAAAATGGTTAAAATGGCAAACTTTATGTTCTATATACTTTATCATAATTTTAAAAAGTTAATAATGTAAGATGCCAAAAAACCACTGAATTGTGGACTTTATGTATTTATTTTTTAAAGTGTATTTATTTTGACAGAGAGAGAGAGAGAGAGAGAGAGAGAGAATGAATGAATGCAGGGGAGGGGCAGAGAGATAACCAGGGTTAAATCTAGGTACTGGGCACATGGGTGTTTGCAACATTATTTTATACACTTAAAATTGTTGGGAGTATTTCATATTTTAAAGACAAATATATCTAATAACTGTATTAAGAAATGAAAGACTCACTTTACGAGTATCTAAAAAAACAGGATATTTGGGAATAAGCATATTAAGGAATGGACAAGGATTATCTTAAGAAAATTTAAAACAAGACGGACATCAGAAAAGACTTGAAGAGAAGGAGAAGCAACTTTTCTTGGCTAAGACTCCACGTCATAAATTTCACCCCTAATTTGATACACAAATTTAATACAAAATGAGTCAAAACATCAATAGGTTTCCTGGGTTTTTGTTTTGTTTTTTGAAGTTGATAAAATAATACCAAAGTGTATGTGGAAGATGAACTTACAGAGTAGCCAGGGAAATTTTGAAAGACTAAACACGGAAGACAAGTCCTCCCAGGTGATAATAAAACATAGTAAAAATAACAATTAAAACAGTTTGGTGTTGGGAAAGGAGAAAAAAAATTCAGTAACATAAAAGAATCTGAAAACAGACCCAAATACTTTAACCGGCTGGTAAATTAGAGATGAATAAAGCTGAATCCCAACCTCACTCCCAACAGCAAAACTAGCAATTCCACGTACATCGATATTTGAACATAAAATGTGAAGTCATAAAAACTGTAAGCACCCCACAGGAATTTATTTCTACTACTAGGCTAGGGAAGCAGTCATGAGGGGTGCCCGGGTGGCTCAGTCGGTTGAGTGTCCAATTTCAGCTCAGGTCGCGATCTGGGGCTTCAGTGGCGGTTCGAATTTCTGCGCCGGACTTCTCCCGACAGCTCAGAGCCTGGAGCCTGCTTTGGATTCTGTGTCTCCCTCTCCCTCCCCCCCCCCCCACTCACCACTCACACACTCTCTCTCCTTCAAAAATAAACATTAAAGAAAAATTAAAAAAAAGAGAGAGAGAGAGAGAAGTGAAACATTTGACTATATAATAACTCAGGACTGTTTTTCGCAGGAAAAAAAACACTGAAGAAACCCCCCAAACTGGTAAAAATGCCACAATAGAACTCTTGCAAATTACACAGAAAACAAATAGGCAGAGAAACGGGGAAGGAACCCGCACAGGTAGTACACAGAAGAAACACAGGTGGACAATTTGTACATGAATGCACATGGCCGCCTCTTCACTGCTGACATTCCGTTTGCATGCTCTCACCCCGGATGTCCCACATGGCTGTCCTATCACCTTGAAGTCTTCACTCCAGCTTTACCTTCTCAAGGAAGCCTTATATATACCAAACAGCCAAAACCATACCTGGCATACAGAGGGAACTTGCCAAACATTTGTGGAATTACTTGTGAATCAACAAACAATGTGGGTCAAGTCAAATAGTGTCTAATATAATTATAATGCCTCATGGGATTTTTTATTTTTATTTTTTTTTAAATTTTTTTAACGTTTATTTATTTTTGAGACAGAGAGAGACAGAGCATGAACAGGGGAGGGGCAGAGAGAGAGGGAGACACAGAATCGGAAGCAGGCTCCAGGCTCTGAGCGGTTAGTACAGAGCCCGACGCGGGGCTTGAACTCACGCGAGATCACGTGAGATCATGACCTGAGCCGAAGTCGGACGCTTAACCGACTGAGCCACCCAGGTGCCCCATGGGATTTTTTAAAAGAAAGGGTTAAAATACATGAACTCTAAACCTAAGGGAACTAAAATACATGGCCTTAATAAAACATATAAGTCACAAGGAATGTTAAGTGGGCTTAATATGAGATACAGTGCCGGGTGGCTCAGTTGGTTGAGCGACTGACTTTGGCTCAGGTCATGATCTCGTGGTGTGTGAATTTGAGCCCCACGTCAGGCTCTGTGCCGACAGCTCAGAGCCTGGAGCCTGCTTCGGATTCTGTCTTCCTCACTCTCTGCGCCTCTCTTGCTTGCGCTCTGTCTCCCTCTGTTCTCAAAAATAAACGTCAAAAATTCTTTAAAAAAAAAAGGTGAACAAATAGATTCTTGTAAAGTAAGACAATTGAAAATAATCAACGTATATCAAGAATCATAATGAATGAGCATAAAGGAATGTACCAATTAGAAGACAAAAAAATGTTTAAACTAGATTTTTCAAAAATTCAGTTATATCTTGTTAACAAGGGACATGTGAAAAAAAAAGATATTCAAAGGTTGAAATTAAAGTATTGTGAAAGATGTAGCAGTAAATATTAACCGAAAAAATGCATTAGTATCAGACAAAAAAACCCTTGAAGGTAAAAAGCATTATTAGAGATACAGGGCTACATACATGATGATACTAAATAAATGATACTGAAAGATTTCATTCTCAATTTGCATTCCTAATTCTAATACACAATTACAAAGAGAAACACAATCCTTTAACAAATAATAGAATACATGGATAAAAAGCCAGGAAGGATATCAAAGATATCAGCAGCACCATTAATAAGCTTAACCTAAGGAACACGTATATAGATGATATCCAACAATTATAAAACATATAGTCTTGAGGCGCCTGGGTGGCTCAGCCGGTTAAGCGTCTGACTTCGGCTCAGGTCATGATCTCATGGTTCATGAGTTCAAGCCCTGAGTCAGGCCCTGTGCTGACAGCTCAGAGCCTGGAGCCTGCTTCAGATTCTGTGTCTCCCCCTCTCTCTGCCCCTCTCCTGCTCACATTCTGTCTCTCTCTCTCTCTTAAATATAAACATTAAAAAATTTTTTAAAACAAAGTCTTTTTTTTCTTAAATTTTTATTCTTTTATTTTAGAAAGAGAGCATGCAAGCAGGGGAGAGGGACAGAGGGAGAGACAGAGAGAATCCTAAGCAGGTTCCATGCTCAGTGTGGAGCCCAACATGGCCCTCAATCCCACGACCCTGGGATCATGACCTGAGCAGAAATCAAGAATTGCTCGAACGACTGAGCCAGCCAGGCGCCCCGTAAACATACAGTCTTTTCAAGAACACATGGAACATTGACTCATATTGATACATGCCAGGCTCCAGGACTCGGTTTGACATATTTCAAGGGATTCACATCATAGAGACCATGCTCTCTACCCAGAATGCAAATATGTTATAACCCAACGAATTATAAAAATAATCATGTTAATAATTTCTACTTCTGAACGACTTCTGAACATTTCTAGGGCCAAAGAGAAATCCAAACAGGCATTATTAGAAGCAAACTATAGTAAGCATGTTACATATCAACACTTAGAAGAAGGAGCTATAGAGGAACCTGAAGGAAATACATAACCTTGAATATTTATAATAGGAAAGAAGAAAGGCTGAATTACAAAGCTAAGTTTCAAATAAAGGAAGGAAATGCCAAAGAGAGGCACAAGGAGCTTTGAAACAGAACGAACATACAAGAGAGAACTGGGGAGTCATCGCTATGAACTCTGCGAAGACGAAACTCATAGTAAAAAGTAGCGAGCGCAACATTTCAACCATAAATCTGAAAATTCAGGCGAAGTGGGCAAATTCTTAGAGGAGTTAAGTATTGACCACATTTTTCAGTACGCTTAAAGTATTTCATAAGATGAATTTGTACACGTAGGCTTAAATTGAGACTAAGGCATCCTTAAACCAAAAAAAGGTCCATACCATTTATAGGCAGAAAACCTTTTGTTTTTTAACTTCAAAACTCAGGTGACTGAGCAGAAAAATTGTGGTTTGGTTTTTTTTTTTTTCACACCCACAGCAGAGACAGGAAACCCCACCTGGGTGCTTTAGATGCCTCAAAAGGTCACAACTGTTAGCAGGACTGAGCGTTCGGCTGGCAGGCCAAACGGAAGTGGCACTTACTTGCCCCAGATGAAGAACGGAGGTGCTGTTGATAGCTCACCTTTGCACCATGCTTCACAAAGCCTGCGGATTTTCTCTCCTACGTGCTTCAGCTACTTACGTGGACACACATCTTCTTACCTTCAGTACAAACAGTTGGAACGGCCACCAGTTGTCGGACAACACACGTGCCAGGCCTATACCGGATGCCTTATGTATGGTCTTTTTTGTTTTTTACTGTTTATTTATTTTTGAGAGAGACCGCAAGCAGGGGAGGAGAAGAGAGAGAGGCGGGGGGACAGAGGATTCCAAGCAGGCTCCGCGCTGACAGCAGCAGGCTCGAACTCACGAACCTCAAGAACGTGACCTGAGCCGGAGTCGGCCACTCGACAGACTGAGCCGCCCAGGGGCCCCACAGATGTCCTTTTCGGTCCTTATGATGCAATGAGGTGCTACTGTCCCAGCTTCACAAAGAATAGATGAGTGAAGTAACGTGCTCACAGGCTCGCTCTTAATCAGGTGAGGGTCAAGACCCAAGGCCAACCAAATCTACCTGAGGCCTCCCCTCCATACGCCCTTTTAAGCACAAGGGCTCCAGGGACTCATCTACAGAGCACAACGCATCCAAAGCAGGCTGTATCCAAGCCCCACTCCCTGCGGCCCGGACCAGGCACCCACCTTCCGGATAACGTCCCGCAGAGCAAAATACTTGTCAGTGAGGTCCCCTGCCTCGCTCAGTGGGGCGTCATAGTCGTAGCTGGTGGGCTGTGGTTGGTAGGGGATGTTGGCCCCTGGAAGACAAAAACATGCCACTGGTAACTACTGAGGGCCCTCCTCCCCCGGGACAAGTTCTTTGGGATTTCTGGGCTCAGGGTTGTTGTCGGGGGAGAACATAAAGGGCACATTAGAACCCACTGTCAAATGACACAGAGGTGGCCCTGAGGAGGCAAGGTTTAGAGAAACGCGTTTCTTCCAGCAGGTGGCCCTTCACAAGCACCTTAGAGCCTATGAGGCGCCGTCCCCGCCCATTCGCCCAGCAAGAGCCCTCAGCGGGGACCCCAGCAGATGTCACCACCACTGAACCAGCAGGGAGCTGAAGCTCCCACAAAATGAGGTCAGTGTCTCAAACGAGTCATGCCAGGCTTCTGGCACGACCCACGTCTGCGATCGTTCGCATGCCCTCGGACACAACACGGGAGAGGACTGCAGACACACGTTACCCCACGGAGTCAAGCGTAACCATGAGGCCTCTAGCGCCTGTGCGGTCAGAGGACCTGCGGTGTCTTCTCCCGGCCCCTTCAGGAGCAAGTCACGCCCTCACCTCCCCAGCTCCCGGGACGGCTGGCTGCTGACAGCTCTCAGATGCGCCCTCTGCTCTCAGGCCTCTGCTGGGCCACCCTGCCAAGGTTATGGCCCTCGGGGGACAGCGCATGTGCAACAAGTGACCACGAGGGCTCAAAAACCCAGCCCCTGGTGTCCCAGCTCCAGAGCTCTCTCTAGAACCAGCCGAGCCACTCCAGAACTCCCTCCGGCCTCAACTCCCTCCCAGTGCCCAGGGCCACCACCCACACTCTCTGAAGGTGCTGCTCTTGGAATGTGCCCCAAGAACCTCCCGCTGGGGAATCACGGTCCGTCTCCCAGGGAACGAAACCCGCCACAGAGACCAATAACACTGATCATACTGTGTACGCAATGCGCAAAGACTAGAAAGGTAAAGGGCCTTGCAATTATCGTTCCAGGGGCAAGGTCTGGACCAGTGGGCCCCAGCCTTGTCACAGATGACGTTCGCAGGCAGGAGACTGGGTGCATTAGTGGGTAGCGAGCCTGTGCTACTGCATAGAAAACTTACCCATGCAACATGGAGAGCCTGTTCAGATTCCTAAGCCCCGCCACACCGGAGATTCTGAGTCAGCAGGTCTTGGGTGGGACCTGAGACTCTGCCTTCCTTTAAAAGTTTTTTTTAATGTTTATTTATTTTTATTTTATTTTTATTTTTTTTATTTAAAAAAAAATTTTTTTTAACGTTTTTTTATTTATTTTTGAGACAGAGAGAGACAGAGCATGAACGGGGGAGGGGCAGAGAGAGAGGGAGACACAGAATCGAACAGGCTCCAGGCTCCGAGCCATCAGCCCAGAGTCCATGCGCGGGGCTTCTGAACTCACGGACCGCAAAGACCTGAGCTGAAGTCGGATGCTTAAATCACTGAGCCACCCAGGCTCTAAATGTTTATTTATTTTTGAGCGAGAGAGAGAGAGAGAGACAGAGCACAAGTGGGGGAGGGGCAGAGAGAGCGGAGACACAGAATCGGAAGCAGGCTCCAGGCTCCGAGCCATCAGCACAGAGCCCAGTGCAGGGCTCAAAGTCACGAACTGTGAGACGAAGTCAGACGCTCAACCGACTAAGCCGGGGTCTCTAACAGGCCCCCAGGTGATGCTGATGCTGGCGCCTGTGGACTAGTAAGGCTCTGTGCCAGGCCTTTCTCTTCTACTCCCGAGAGCATTTTGCAACACAAGGGTGTGAGAATAAAGCTGCTTTAGGATCATCTCATACCATATCTAACCGTTAAGCAAAGGAGGCACAAAGTCTGACATTTCACCTGTGACTTAGTAAGAACTCCTTGGTCTGATCCCACAGCCCGTGAATGATGGCGCCACCTTGGGGGATCCTACTGGACCTTGGGGGATCCTACTGGACCTTGGGGGATCCTACTGGTGGTGGAACTGACAGCTGAGTGGGGCCGAGGATCAGGTCAGCCCCCAACACCCCGTTTCATTAGTTCTGTCTGCACAAAATCTACATGTCTGAGGGACTGGGACCACTTAAGCAACTGAACTGACCCAGTCCTTCCTTTACCTCGCTTTTTCTTGACTGGAGGCAGTGGCCTGCCCACAGATCCACCTGCCTGTGGGGCTACATACATTAAAGCACATCCTTTGCTGTGAGATGCAAAGAAACATGAAACCACATCCCTTGTTGCAAGGAGCTCATCTCCTTTGTGGCCCCTCTCCTACCTCTAATGTGGCAGTGGCCCACCTTCCTATTTATATGAGTGGCACCACACCAGGTGCCTGCCCCTAGAGCTTACGCTTCAGAGCTCACTCCCACAGCTGAGCTCAATCAGTGGTCACCAAGTTGAACTGAACAAATGTGACTCCCAGAGACAAAATCACAGGCCAAGGGAAGCCAGGCACGGAAGCTGGCCAGTGGGTCAAAGGATGGACTGAAAAACAAAGTCTTTGGGGCGCCTGGGTGGCGCAGTCGGTTAAGCATCCGACTTCAGCCAGGTCACGATCTCGCGGTCCGTGAGTTCGAGCCCCGCGTCAGGCTCTGGGCTGATGGCTCGGAGCCTGGAGCCTGTTTCCGATTCTGTGTCTCCCTCTCTCTCTGCCCCTCCCCCGTTCATGCTCTGTCTCTCTCTATCCCAAAAATAAATAAAACGTTGAAAAAAAAAAAAAAGAAAAACAAAGTCTTTGCTCTGGTTTCACCCACAGAATCTTTCTCTGGATGCCCTCAGACCACCCCAGGGCAGTGTCGGAGAGAAAGCGCGCTAACTCAAGCGTCCTCTGCCCGTGGTAGGGAGTGCAAGGTGGGAAGGCAAACGAAACGGCAAGGCTCACCGCTCCGCAACTCTGCACGTCGTGTGAGAAGTCCAGGATGGCCTGGGTCCCGCAGGAGGCCTCACAGATGGGGATGCACGCAGGCAGAGTGGGGTGCACACACGTGCACGGACAGGTGCATCCCCCGTGGGCAGGACGGGCAGTGAGCTCCCTGCCAGGGGCCTTCCCTCTCACGGCGCTCCTCTGGGATCTGGCCTGAGGAGCGGCCACAAAGAAGCACACACGCCCCCCAGGAGACCAAGCACTAGGGCAGGTCAGAGAGGCCCACAAACACGGGAGGGGCTGGTTTGGGAGCTGGTGCAAGGGCTTTGGGATGCAAGAGGTGGTCCAAAGGGCAGTGACCAGCTTTCCAAGGCCCGAGTTCGAGTCCTATCCCCTGCCAGCTGAACGGGAAACCTGTGGACTTTTTTTTGCACCCTGCTTTTCCGATCTGTAAAATGGGTCCATAATCTCTGGCCTAGATGAGACTGCTATGAGAACTAACTGAGAAAACAGAGGCAGAAGAGAGACTTGTTATTTATAACAGGGTCAGGAGCAAGGCAAAGGATTGAAGACAACTTCCATTTTCTGAGTGGTTGTTTTTATAGATCTAAATTTTCAAAAAAGAAGAATGTATCATTTTATGTAAAACAGTACAAGATAAAAAAAATTGTATCGTGAGCTACAAAGTTCCCCCCAAATATCAGTCTTCATTCCTGGACTGGATGCTTGGTACCATTCTACGAATGGAAAGCAGGTGGAATCCTTATCTACTGAATGAAAAAGGCGCCACAAAATCTTAACTGTTTCTAATGAGAAGATGGGCACCCAGACATAATCTAAAACTTCAATTGGCACACTGTGATCTTTTAAGAAGTGACATCTGAGTTTTGCAGTATCTCCCTTCTTGCCTCTAATAACAGTGATGATGTTAGTTACTAATAACAGTAACACTTGTAGGCAAGGTCTTCCAGCCCATCCCACTTCGCACAGAAGAGAGCTGTTCATTAGGGTCACATCCTGGGAGGTTCAGGCCAAATTAAGCTTCCAAAACTCAGCACTGGGGGGCATCCTCAGTGATTCAGAGAGAAAGGGCAGCTGTGGAGAGGGGTGAGGAAAGAGCCTGAGAAAAAGGCTAATATAGCATGACTTGCCTGTGAAAATCAATGGCAGTGAAGAGAATTTTTCATAATTTTTCCTGATAAAAAGGGAGAGACCATACAGGAATGGGAAACGGTACAGCCACTTCGAAAACAGTATAGCAGCTCCTCAAACTCTGATCTTAACAGTTAGTTACCCTATTATCCAGCAAACGCCCTCTTAGGTACACACCCAAAAGACTGAAACGGGGATTCAAATGAACACTTACATGTTAACGTTCATAGCAACATTATTTGTAATGGCCAGAATGTGGTAACAACTCCAATACCCATCAATTTGACATCTGGATGAACAAAATGTTGTATATCCGGGCAACAGAATATTATTTATCAGTAAAAAAACTAAAGTACGGATCCCACAACACGGATGGACCTTGAAAAGAGCCATCTTTTCAACCTGCCTAAGGGGCAGAAGTGAAACACAAAGCCGACCACATAGCGTATGATTCTATTTATAAGCAACGCCCAGAATAGGCAAATTCACAACGAGAGTACAGACTCATGGTTGCTAAGGGCCGGGAGGAGAGAGAGTGGGGAGTTTCTCCGGTAAGGGGTTTCTTTTTGGGGTGGTGAAAATGTTTTGGAACTAGGTGGTGGTAATGGGTATGCAACTTTGTGATACGCGAAGCACCACTAAACTGTGACTCATAAAATTGTGAGTTTTATGGTATGTGAATTATATCTCGACAAAACAAAATGTTTAAAAAAAGAAAAGAAAATAGATCACAGCAGAATACATGAACAAGTAAGCTATAGCCAGAGACTATGGGACCTACCCAGCTACCTTGTTTAAAACAATAAGGTTTCTGGGGGGCACCTGGGGGCGCAGTCGGTTCGGCATCCGATTCGGCTTAGGTCATGATCTCGCAGTTTGTGAGTTCAAGCCCCGCATCGGGCTCTGTGCTGTCAGCTTGGAGCCTGGAGCCCCCTTCAGATTCTGTGTCTCTGCCCCTTCCCTGCTTGTTCTCTGTCTCTCTCAAAAATAAATAAACATTAAAAAAAAATTTTTTTTTAAACAATAAGATTTCTGGGGCATCTGTCTGGCTTGGTCGGAAGAGCACACGTCTCTTGATCTTGGGGTTGTGAGTTGGAGCCCCATTACTAAAAAAAAAATAAGTAAACTTGAAAATAAATAAATAAATAAATAAACAATAGGCTTTCTAAGTGGACAGGTTCTGTTCCTTAAGAAAAAATTATCATGATTTTAAAAATTATGTAGGCAGTTCTTATGCATTAGGAAATTTCTATATATTAGAAAATAAAAGTTGTCTGTAGGCACTCCCTACCCCCAAATCAAGCCCCAGAAACATTCTAGCATAAGCTTCCATGAACACCTTAAACTGCTCTTACCATTCCAATAAGCGAAATTGGTCCCACCTATAAACATGTACCTGCAAGGAAACAAGAGAACAGACATACTTAACTACGAGCCCATAGCTATGGAGGGTGCCCTCCCTTCCAGAAATTACCACTCACAAGTTCACATTCGCCCCATGGGCAAGTACGTCATGGAGGGAGGAAGCTACCACTTCAGTCCTCACTCTTGAGTGAGGTTGGCCCCAGTGGTCTAACCAGCCAGTATAGAATTCAGAGTTCACCTAAAAAGAAGAAAGGACAGGGAGCTCAGGACAGACTCATGACCTTCAGACGTTGGCACTTCTCTAGAACCATCACCCTATCTACCCCACCGAGTGATGGGTAGAGCGGGCCGTGTACGTGTACTGCTTAACCCAAAGCTGGGGGACCAATGAGGGTCACTGCTCCAACTCAGTTTTTAGGTGCCAACAATACAGGTATTCCTGAAAAGTTGTACCCGCAACAAAATTTTGTTAGCCAGCCCCCAGTTTGAACAAGGCAGGAAATTTTGGTGGGCAAAAGAATCCGATGGCAAAATATTTTCACCAAACTGTCAGATCTAAGTTCACCCATTGTGTCCATCCGGATTTTCAGATCACGGGTTGACGTAAGCTGAGGCGGACCTGCCCGAGTATTCTGCGAAGCAAACCCCAGGCACTTCACGGCTCTCTAGAGCACGCCCCTGCCACGCCCTTCATCTGGAGAAGGAAGAAGAAACCTGGACGTGTTCTGGGGCTGCCTGTGTCAGGGTTTGGGAAACAGCTCCATCCAGTCTGTGAACACAGGTTCTGCACTGCTCAGAGACCGTGTTCAGGAAAGGCTGTGTGCACGGGTGGGGGGCAGCCTGGCCGGCTGCACAGAAGGCACAGGACCCCAGCCCTCAAACTGTGCCGAGAAACAAGGGTGACGACTACGGACAAGGGAGAAGCTGAAGGGCTGTGCGGACCTGCCCGGACGTTCCTGTCGCCTCCTCCTCCTGGCTGCCTCTGCGGCATGCCAGAAAGCCCCCGAACTCAGCCTGTGTTCCCCAGGATGCCTGTCGGAAATGCCAACGCTCGGGCCCCACGCGGGCCATGTGTCTTACCCAGATTCCTCCGCGATTCACACGCACATTAAGACGGAGAAGCTCTGTCGCAAAGAGCTCTCAAGAAACACAGACCTGAACTCAGACGCTGGCCCTGGCCCTCGCCAGCTGTACGGCCCCGGCTAAGTGACGTGTTCTCTGAGCCTTGGCGACAATGGAGAAAACGACACCCTCTGTGAGAGGGGCCATCAGTGCCGAGCGGGAGGGAGCATGAAAGAGCGTGGAGCCCGAGTCATGGCAGGGCAGGCACAACTGTCCCCACTGTGTTCCACGCCAGTGCTGTCACTGTGCCCAGAGGGCCACGTGCCCCGGTCCCATTCAGCTGCGGACTCCGCAGCCGGAAAAGGCAAGGACCTACCCCCTTAGTTACTGCAAGCAACCTCGCCTCGACCCACAGCTCACCCCCAGTTCTTACCAACGGTCCTCTGGGCTCACTCTTTCTCTGGATCTGGAAAGCAGCGGTGATGTTGGCATCTGGAAGTTACGAGACGGAGAAGAAAGGTCAGTCGTGGGAATGATAAGTCAAGTAAAAAGAGTCCTGCACAGACCTTTAGCCTGAGGCCCTGCCCTTGGCCCACGGGGGGCCTGGAACATCCCCCAGTCAGCTTTAGGCTGGACCCACACCATCCATCCGAAGGATGTGTGGGGATCACGGAACGTTACTTCTTCTCAGAGCAGGTCCCTATGGTCTTTCCTGACCGCCTTGTCTCAGGAGATCCCGTCACAAGCTTGTCTTCTCCACCTAGGTTTCCCCGCACGTTTTGCGTCCTTCTCTCTTCACAGAGAGGTCCATCTGGTTGACCGAGATGCTCCCTACAGGATGGGGCTTGCTTTGAAGACCCTTCCTTGCAGCCTCCACGGCACCCCCACACACATACTAATGCCACAGCTACGTGCCAGGCCATTAACAATCAAAGGGACAGATGTGGTCTCGTTGTCTTTTTATGCCTGAGTCACGGCACACACTCTGATTTTGAATCTGTACATCGTCAGCCGTTCCAGGCCACTTGCTCTTAAGTTCTCCTTCTAAAATACTCCATTAAGACGCCTGTGTGTGGGCTTGCTCCCTCTGTCTCCTCTCCCCCTCTGAACGGGACTAACCTCTCCCCACGGAGGCCGTGGGCTGCCTTCCTGCAGCGAACGAACAAGCACGAATAGTATTTCTCTAACCAGAGCAGAGGGTGCGCTGGCCCCGAAGTTCACGATCCACTTCCCACAGCAGGTACCCGGCGTGGAAATGACACCAGCCAAGACCTTGAAATAACCCCTTGCCCCCTGTAAGGCCAGGCTTCAGGAGAGGACGTGCTGGTCAAGAGTGGAATCTCATTTACTTTATGGCTGTAAATGTCTCAGCATTAAGCACCGGGTGGCATTCAGATCTTTCAGTTCTGTTCTCATGAGCCTCGTCCTGTGACCTCACCCTGGGCGCTGCCCCGTCCCACACACGTGAATGAAGCGGCCACGAGCCCCACCTGCCCCACATACACTGGCCGCACGTTGGTCTGTCTTCGACCCACAGCCGGAGCCACTGTGCTCTCACCCCACATGCACATCAGCCTTACAGCAAAGTCAGAATAACCTTCAAACTGTTTCTCCCGACACAAGGATACCGTGCTTTTCATCACTGTGATGGGAAGTGTGCCAAAGCAGGAGGAAACCAGAGTGCCGCTTCCTGTGCAGCCTTTGTAGACGAGTTATTTCATCACCAAACACTCTGAGCAACGCCTCATGTTTCTAGAAACACTTCATTCACTTAAAACCAGCTATTTTCTTTTCTGCGAATGTAGAAGAAGCTCTTTAAAAATGCAACTTCAGGGGCGCCCGGGGGGCTCAGTCGCTGGGGTGTTCAACTCTCGATTTCGGCTCGGGTCACGGTCTCACGGTTTGTGGGATCGAGCCCTGCGTCGGGCTCTGCGCTGACAGCACGGAACCTGCTTGGGATTCTCTCTCTGCCCCTACCCCGGCTCGCGCTCGCTCTCTCAAAATATGTAAAATAAACTTTAAAAATTATTTTAAAAATAATACATAAAAAAGGCAACTTCAGCCTTCCAAACATCCTTTCTCAAGAGAAAGTCAGTGCTGGTCGTGCCGTGGGGGTGGAGCCTCTTACACTGTCAGGAAGAGGCAGCGGGGCCTTCATGCTGCTTGAAGGGCAGGTCTTTTGGGGGGGGGGGGTTGACATTTATTTTGAAATAATTTCAACCTTATACAAGAGTTGTGAGAAGAGAACAAAGAACCCGAATTCCCAAAGGACCGAGATTCCTCAGTCGTTAACATTTTGCCACATTTGTTTTATCAGTTTGTCTCTCTCTCTCTCTCAGTACAGTTACTTTTCTCTGAACCATTTGTGAATAAGTTGCAGGCATGATGGCCCTGTACCCCTAAATACTTCAGGGTACATTCCCCGAAGAGCATGAGCATTCTTCAAATAGACACAACACGATTATTTAAAAAACGGGGGAGGTTAACATGCAAACAATCCTGTTATCTAATCTACAGATTTGATTCCAAAAATGCAATTGTCCGGGAATGGCCTTCTTAGCACAGATAGACGGAAAGCGGGCAAATCCGGTCCGGGGTCCTCTTCAGGAGCATACACTGCCTGTGGGTGTCCTGTCCTTCATGACAGCTGCTCCCTTAACGCTTGTCACAGCCGGGAGCCTGCGGGGCTGCGCCGGCCGCCCCAGAATTGCACTCGCTGGGCCTCCGGCAGCTGACACGGCCCTAACCGGTGAGGCAAGGCCTTTTTGCAGCATCTCCCCGACCGCCCGCGGCCCGCAAGGGTCACGATGTTGAGTTCCACGGAAAGACCACGCTCGTGTAGGGAGGCTCCCCGCATTCCAGGGCGGGGCCACACCACCCACCCGGTAGCCGACCTGAAGGACGAGCCCACGGCCACCGCCGCCAGGGGGCGGAGCTCCTAGCAGCCGCCCTCGCGAGCAGAGCTCTAACCACGCAGCTCCCGCCCCAAGGGCCCATCGGCCTCACTCAAATAACTAACGCGAGCCACAGGGGGCGCTGCACTACTGACTCCGTTTGATCCGTCGGGGAGCATTTGGGAAATCTCGCTCGACGTACCCACTGCAAACGCGCGGCCCGGGGTGCCGGCCGGCGCCCACCGCCCACCGCCCGAGCCTGCGAGGCCTGGGCGCGGTTCTCTGCGACGGCGAACACCGACCTGGGCCGAAGTCCACGGTGGCGTAGATCCCCTGCAGCGCCCCGCACTGCAGGAACTTCTCGTGCGCCCCGTCGGTGGTGAACAGAAGCACGTCCCCGCCCAGGTGGTCGCGGAAGCGCCGCTGCAGGAAGCGCAGGTAGTCGTAGTCACAGGTGAAGTAGCTGCCGTATTCGTTTTCAACCTGCAAGTTAACAAAGGGGCGGGGTCAGGAGATCCCGACCGAGTCCTTCCAGGCAGGCTTGAGCCCCTGCCCAACCACTGCCAAAGCTCAACCGTTGCCCAAAACATCTCCTAGCTCAGTCCTCAAAACGCATCTTCCAAAGGGCAACTCAGCACGAAAACTTACCGCCCCACCTCCCACTCCACCAAAATAAGAAAGACAAAACCACCGTGTCAGATTTTGGATTGTAGTGATGCTCTACCCTATACTGGGTAATAGATCCTTTAAACGTGACATAAACAACACCTTCCCACGGTAGAAGTATTAGACAATGTGGGGAAATGCAAAGAAACTAGAAAAACCGTGTGTTAATCCCATTACTCAGAGACAACTGCTATGGGCATTCTGGCTCAGCCTTCCAGATTCACACACACGCACACCCTAGATACACGGAATAAAGCACAGAGACTGTTCTGTTCTTAAAACTGGTATCATCATAATACATGCACCAGTTACAACACTGGCTTCCCACCTTCAACACACTATGCGAAATGTCCATGGAGGCGACAAGGGCAAGTGCCAGATAAGGACGTACTGCCGTTTACTCCACCTACTGCCAAACTTTCAGGGCGCTTCTTGTTTTTGTTCTTAGTAACCAATTGGCTCAGTCTGCATTCAACAGCATCGGTGGTTTTCAACCAGGAGTTATTTTGCCCCCAGGGAACATTTCACAAGGTCTGCAGATGCTTTGGGTTGTCACATCTGTAGGGGGAGAGCGTGCGGCTGGCACCTGGTGGGTGGAGGCCAAGGGATGCTACCAGGCCCGCTGCTTGTGAGCCTCCACAACGAAGGATTTTCAGGTGCTGTGAGTGGCACTTGTGCCGAGGGTGGGAAATGCTGCCCTGGGGCACGCGTTCTCCCATTCCCCACGGGGACGCACCCATCGACAGGGCATGCCCAAGAAGGTAAAAATGGATTCTTACAGGAGAAAAGAACACCTTACTCTTTTTTATATGTAAAGCACAGATGTATACACACACACACTTCTACAGTAGATCAGAGGTATTAAAATTTCGTGGGCAGGAAATTAGAAAAAAATGTCTACAGGGGCGCCGGGGTGGCTCAGTTGGTTAAGTGTCTGACTTCGGCTCGGGTCGTGATCTCACGGTTCGAGGGTTCGAGCCCCACATCGGGCTCTGCGCCAACAGCTCAGAGCCTGGAGCCTGCTCAGGATTCTGTGTCTCTCTCTCTCTCTCTCTCTCTCTCTGCCCTTCCCCTGCCCGTGCTGTCTCTCTCAAAAAAAAATAAATAAATAAACGTTAAAAAATTTTTAATTAAAAAGATGTCTAAAAAGGCTTTTTAGGGGCAATAACGAAAAAGAAGTTAAGAAACATTGCTCTAAGGCCATAAAATGAATGGCCTTCAGCTCCACCCAATATATCAAAGAATCTTAGAGGTATGACACTGAGTGAAAGGCACACCCCGCTGAGAAATACAGACAGCTGTTACAGAAACTTTTGCGCGCCCAAGTCCTGTCAACCAATGCCGACTTCCTTCTTTTCTAACCCCTGGGCTTCGGTTCCATTCCAGAACCATGGGGGGGGGGGAGAGCATGTGAGGTGTACCCACGTGTGGTATGACCTCAGACACGTGGGGAGAAGAGAACGGAGACACAACTGGTCAGGGAGGAAAGTGGACAAGGTGCCAGGAGGGCCTCACAAACGGAGGCACTAACAGGGGTTCTGAGAGTCACATGGACGCCAACAAGCCAACTGGGAAGGCCTCCAGGCAGAGGAGGGCCTACGTGGACAAGAGGCCACCATGAATTTGGTGGCCAGTGCGAAGAATTGTTAATGATATGAAAAAATGCTTATGACCGTAGGCTCAAGCAAGAAGAGTCAGGTAAGAAACTGGTCAGTTTACACTAACTCTGTAAAAAGAAATGTTTTAAAGGCATGGAAAAAAAAATCAAGGAAATCTCCCCAGAACGTAAAGAGCTTTGCTTCTGACTCCAGAAGCAAATTATGGTTTCTCTGTTTTCTTACATTCTTCCATGCTTCCCCACACTTACTTATTTAGGAATCAAGGGGCAAAAGGATTATGGAATTCAAGCGGGGGGAGGTGCGAAGGGCAGAGGCAGAGGAGGCGGCGGCTGGCAGGGCCCTGGCAGGACCCACAGTCAAGTTCAGGTCGTCCAAGGGATGCACACAAGAAATGCCCCTCACGCAGCCAATTCTGCTCTGCTCTGCGGAATTCATATCCGATTACACTCCTCATGGCACGTCGACGACCAAAAGGTACAGAAAAGTTGTGAGCGAAGCTTGAAAGTGACTTGGGAAGAAGCAGAGATTTAAAAACGGGGGAAACTAGAGAAAACCCGAGGTGAACACAAAGGAAGAAGACCCATTCGTGCGAAGCCACACTCACCGGCAGCCTTGACATCTTCACGTGGGAAAACAGGCTCCTATAAGCTTCACCAGTACAGACTCAAGACGGGTGGAGGGGCGTTCAGTGCTCCGGGAGCAGTGAGCTGGCCTCTCTCCCCCATGCAGGGTCAGAATGGCCACTGTGGCCAGGTCGGCCTTCTCAGCGCCTCATTCGACCTACACCTGAAGGGCAAGAGGGCGGCCACGCTCCCTTCCCACAGGGACCGTTCCTACAACGGCCCATAGCGTTGTTCCTCAGAAGGAAATCCTGCCCACACTTCTCTAGGGAGTTGCACTGCACCCCCTTGCCGCTTCAGGATGCAGCCCCTTTTACGTTTCTTCCTTGGCAAATGACTAATGAACATGGTTTTATGTGTTATTGCTGTTGTTTTTAAGTTTATTTATTGAGAGAGAGAGAACATGAGCAGGGCAGGGGCAGAGAGAAAGGGCTGAGAGAATCTGACAGCACGGAGCCCGATGCGGGGCTCGAGACTCACAAACTATGAGAGAGTGACCGGAGCCGAAAGCAAAAGTTGGGACGCTTAACTGACTGGGCCACCCAGGCGCCCCGGTTGTGCGTTTCACCTAAGTAATTTTGCAAACATCACAAATTGTTGCAGGTCAAATGCCCCAATTTTTCACGTGGAAAATACTTGGCACATGATGTACCCACAATATACCGGTCCTTGCAGAGCAAAGAACACATGGAAGGAGGAGAGTGGGGGCAGGAAGCAGGAGAGAAAGCAGAAGAATGGCCCCAGTTCACCACATCCTCTTTCAAACCAGCATGAACTGACTGCCTAAGCAGGGCAGACACCAAATCATTTTAATCCGTGTTGCACCCCCTCAGCCACAGGCAACGTGGCAGCAGAGAAAGAGGCAGGCCACGGGATCAGTGGGCCTAGGATGCAATCCTGACTCTGCCACCTGCCCACTGGGCGACCTGGGCCAAGTCACTTCACCCCTTTGAAGTTCTTCTTTTCAAAGAGACATCGGTCGGAATAATTGCATGGCGTCTGGAGGGCAGTCAGCTCAGGGTCCGGTATACAGCAGCCACGAACGACAATGCCTCCCCAAAGTGTGGCTTATATAAAATCACCAGCTGTGGCACTGCCTTGCAGTGAAACAGGCTTGTGAGGCCCACCTCTGCATCGCTCCCGGGTACGATGCGGCCGGATGAAAGCCTTCCCCGCCCCCCACCTTCCCGTGCTCATCTCTGAGGCTACCTGCACGGTTATAATGGGCCCTCCATTCTGATAGAGGAGAGGCTTCATCTTGGGCAGAAGGACTCCCAACCACTTGTCCACGGCTGCAAGGTAATCTGGAAAAGAGGACAGGTTTAACACCGTTCCACAGCTTTTGGTGCACACACACACTGACGCCCTGTCACCCTGGGGCTCGCAGCCGAGATCGGGATGTGCCAGACTCAGCGAGACTGAGATGGGGTAGCTGCACGCACTGATGTGATAAAAGCTGTCCCACAAGGAGCCATCTGCTCAGCGGGTTCCCAGTGGAAAGGAGCACATGCATGGTCTCTGCCCCACCACGGGGACACCAGGCCTGGAGCGCAGGAGGCTGGTCCAGCCCATGTTTGTTGAAGGAAGAAAAGAGTGCCTGAAGGGAGTGTCTTTCTCTCTGTCACAGTAGGATGGGTGTTTTTTTATTTTTTAAAATGAAGCTTTAATAAATTAAATACTGACACTGGCAAATGGAGATAACAGAGCGCACCCTTTGTAAAGAGGCCGTGAGGACGAAATGAGGTAATACAGGTAAAAACATGAATAATGTGCTGGGACTGCAAACCGGGAGGGTAATGCACTAAGAAGGATGTACACGTAGAGCACAGGACACCAGCCTTTCGCACAGCAAATTCAATCAATGTTAGCTGCTCTTCGGACCGTCCCGAGACCAGCATCTTCAGGAGGCAGAAATGCAGCTACTGGGACCTTCTGCCTCATCAGGGTTTGCAGCGAAAATAATTTCTAGTTGTTGAAAAAGGCCAGAAAAAGACTATCATTTTACAGATCGCCCTGTAAAGGTCAACAAACGAACTGTCATTTTGATTAGCCAGATGCTATCACTGGGCATGTAATTATTGAGAAAGTAGGAAGAGAAAGCATTAAAGTCAGTCGGTCAACCGCAAACAGGGCCCAGTGCCAGTTCAGAGTCACCAGTTTATCAGCAAGATCTGGTCAAACAGTTCGAGACAGCCTTATTTCCTACACATTCAAAGTCTGCAGTGGACACTGACTAACACACTTCCACTAAGCCTTCCAAAGTGTCTGTGCAGAAGAACCCCAGCCTTCAAAACACCTGCTGCTTTTGGTATAAAATGTCACGAAAGACATCATCATTCTCTCAGGACACCTGTAACAACTTACCTGGATCAGAAGAACGGAGAATAATCGACTCTTTTAATAACAGCCAAGCCGGCAATCCTCCCTAGGATGGGGGGTGGGGCAAAAGGAGGGAGAAGCCATTATGAGGTCTCAAGGCAGAGAGAAATTACTCTTAGCGGTGACGGAAAAGAAGACTTTCAGGGAAGAAGGGGTAGTCGAGGCGGGCTTTGTGGCGTAGAACTTTCAGGGACGGTAGTGATCATAACTTCCTTTTACTAGTAAGATGGCATCACATGAATGGAGTGTTTGGAGAATAATCAAAGCTTTTCCATGGCTCATCCCACTTAATCGTACAACAACCCTGTGAGGTAGACGGAGCCCGTACCGTGAACCGATGGGGAAAGTGAGTTATGTGAGCACCAAGGGGAGGACGCACGCCTTCGGACCCTTCCCTGTTCCTCTCTGCCTAGACACCTCCTGAGGTAAAAGATCCCTATGCCGGCTGTAGTCACAGACTCACTGTCATCTGGAATGGGAAACTATTTAAACTGCTTTAACTCACTTTGCCCCAGATCCCTGCCAGTCAGCCCGCCCCTGTCATGCGCACCAGCCGGGCAGAGCCAGGTCTGGCCACACTCACCATGTCCCACTCTGCACAGATGTAGGGTCCGGGCCTCAGGATAACCAGCAGTCCCAGCTCATGGGCCAGCTTGAGAAAATATTCCACATCATGTTCCCCAGAAAACTGGTACTGTCCTGGCTGGGGCTCGTGAAAGTTCCAGGGCACATACCTGCCAAGAAACACACAGCCCCTTCTTGGAAATAGCTCAAAAATCCAGTTGTCCTATGTGACCGACCTTCCTTCCTTCCTTCCTTCCTTCCTTCCTTCCTTCCTTCATTCCTTCCTTCCTTAAATGTTTATATATTTTTGACAGAGAGCATGAGCTGGGGAAGGGCAGAGAGAAGGGGGCAGAGGATCTGAAGCAGGCTCCGCACTTACAGCAGAGAGCCCGATGTGGGGCTTGAACTCAAGAAGCACGAAATCATGACCTCAACCGACTAAGCCACCCGGGCGCCCCCCTCATGTGAATTTCTAAACCGTCAGCAGAACTGTGGACCCTCAGGACACTCACATAGCTCCCCTCGGCAGCCTCTTGGGAAAGAGGCCTTGTCTTGAGTTTTCAGAGCAGTTACCCAAGTGAACCAAACTTGGTGGGGGGACACATTTCAGTTTATGACCCACAAAGAATGCCCATTCCTATTTAACAACTTAAAAAAACCACAGAATTACATAAACATTAATTACTACTATGTAGAAATTATATATACCTGTGGAAGGCTTAGGGAAAATGAAAATACCTATGCTAAGGTAATAAGAGATATTTATTTTTTGAAAATGCTTTTTAATAAAAATAAAAATTAAGAAAACCCCTCCAAGGCAAGGGAAACCAAAGCAAAAATGAACTATTGGGACCTCATCAAGATAAAAAGCTTCTGCACAGCAAAGGAAACAATCAGCAAAACTAAAAGGCAACCAACGGAACGGGAAAGATATTTGTAAATGACATTATCAGACAAAGGGCTAGTATCCAAAATCTGTAAAGAGCTCACCAAACTCAACACCCCAAAAACAAATAATCCAGTGAAGAAATGGGCAAAAGACATGAATAGACACTTCTCCAAAGAAGACATCCAGGTGACCAACCGACACATGAAAAAATGCTCAGCATCACTCATCATCAGGGAAATGCAAAGCAAAACCACAATGAGATACCACCTCACACCTGTCAGAATGGCTCACATTAACGACACAGGAGACAACAGATGTTGGCGAGGATGCGGAGACAGAGGATGTCTTTTGCACTGCTGCTGGCGATGCAAGCTGGTGCAGCTACTCTGCAAAACAGTATGGAGGTTCCTCAAAAACTAAAAACAGAACTACCCTACGACCCAGCAATTGCACTAGTAGGCTTTTATCCACAGGATACAGGTGTGCTGTTTTGAAGGGGCACATGCACCCCCATGTTTATAGCAGCACTATCCACAACAGCCAAAGTATGGAAACAGCCCAAATGTCCATTGATGGATGAATGGATAAAGAAGATGTGGTATATATATACAATGGAGTATTACTCGGCAGTCAAAAAGAATGAAATCTTGCCATTTGCAACTACGTGGATGGAACTAGAGGGTATTATGTAAGTGAAATTAGTCACAGAAAGACAAATATCATATGACTTCATTCATATGAATACTTTAAGATACAAAACAGAAAGGGGCGCCTGAGTGGCTCAGTCGGTTGAGCGTCCGACTTGGGCTCAGGTCAGGATCTCACGGTTTGTGAGTTCGAGTCCCGTGTTGGGATCGGTGCTGACAGCTCGGAGCCTGGAGCCTGCTTTGGATTCTGTGTCTCCCTCTCTCTCTGCCCCTCCTCTGGGTCGTGCTCTGTCTCTCTCTCTCAAAAATAAACATTAAAAAACAAAAAAAAGATACAAACAGATGAACGGAAGGGAAGGAAAGCAAAAATAATATAAAAACAGGGAGGGGGACAAAACATAAGAGACTCTTAAATATAGAGAACAAACAGAGGGTTGCTGGAAGGGTGGTGGGAGGGGGGATGGGCTACATGGGCAAGGGCATTAAGGAATCTACTCCTGAAATCATTGTTGCACCATATGCTAACTTGGATGTAAATTAAAAGATAAATAAATTATTACAATAACAAAAAACCCCTCCAACCCTTGTGTCCTCCTACAAGAGATTTTGTCAGGAGCAGCACGCAGGAAGTGACAAAAACATGGGACACAAACTGGAATACGGAGCCACCCACTGCCATCGCAGAGGTCTCTCGGATGACCCCTGGCTTATGGCCCTTTTCCACAATCCCATGGCTTTAGGGCTCCATGGCACAGACAGCCCCGGTCCCCCAGAGCTTAAGTGTTCAACTACAGGGAGGAAATGGATGCCCCAGGCCTCTGCCTCTGCATTTTCTCACCCTTTATCTTGAAGAGGCAATCCTCATCAGTAGTGCAAAAACCAGAGTGGCCAGCCAACCCAGCTTTTCTCCCAATTAGTCACCTTGCAACAGCAGAAGAGACGAGGAGAGATAGTTATTGGGGTAATTCTCTATCTGGAGTTAGAGAAGTACCCCAGCAGAACCACAAAGAAAAACTGGGATTCAGGAACCTACCTAACCTGGCACACTCCCCCAAGAACTGAGAGAAGCTGTGGCCGCCTATAAACATTGCTACCTTCAAGTTCTAGGGAGACCTCTGGCCAAAAATAGGCACTTGGGCAAATTTCAGTCTCACCAGCCATAAAGGGGAGTGAAGGGATGGAATCCTTTGTGTAAAGGGCCCTGCGCACGGCAAGCACTCAATCACGGTTACTTCCCTTTCCTTTCAAAGCTGATATTCACTTCACGATTTCCACTGACAAGGTTCAAGATCGGAAGAAGTGGTTAATTATCTGAAGATGGGCCAGTCGAGCTGAGGACAAGCCCCTCCCAGAACACCGGGTTATGCTGTTTCCCGTTCTGAGCAATGAAACCGCTAGGCGCGCGGAGAAACGCGGCTGGCGGCAGCCCGTCTCCAGGCGCGGGTGTCTAGGCCCAGGTGAGAGCCCAGTGCCCTCCTACTTACGTCTGGATGGCGTTCAGCCCGGCCATCTTCATTTTCAGGAGCCGGTCCTTCCAGTAGAAGCGGGGCACCCGAAAGTAGTGAATGCTCCCCGAGATGTAGCGGAACGGCTGGCCATCCTTGAGGAAGCGGTTGTGGCTGTAGTCGATCTTGAACGTCCTCCGGGAAGCATTCTACGGGGCAGGGATGGGGCCACGTGAGAACTTCCACCTTCCCCATCTCGGGAGCAGAAACTCTCAGTGGCAGGCGGCCTCCTGCCTGTTTCATTTGTGGAATCTGCTGATCGAGTCAGTGCGTGGCTTCTGGGCCCAAAAGCAAACCGCTGCCCAGACGGTGGCTACTGCACTCAGGCAACAGAAATCACCGGGAAGGACCCCTGTGCAGGATTCCCAAGGGCTTACTTTTCCAGAGGCCAGCACTGATCTGGTAAAGACCTTGCCGGAGCTGACTCTTTCCTTGATCGAGCAAAGCCCAATGTGCTGGGAATGGAAGACACAATCACACCCTCCCTCCCTGTGGCGGTCACTCACTGGAGCACTGGATGCACCTCGACAGTAATGTCACCGGGTGCAGGCAAGGCATGAGAGGTCTAGAGTCCTGGCTGGTGCTCTAAGTGTGGCAGTGACCAGGTGAACTCTCTCGAACCCACATCTCCACTGCCATAAACATGCAGGATGTCTGACGAGATGAACTTCAAGCCAATCTGTTTCCAGTTAGGGGCTGCAATCCCACTGGTGAATCATGAACCCAGTTTGGGCAACGACTGGCACTTAAAAAAATTTTTTTTTGATTGACGCTTTTTTAGTAATAAAATATCAGCATACTACACATAATTAAGACAAGTATTAGTTTATGAAACGGTTGTTACGTATACAGATGCAGAGTTGCATCAGATGTAAGTCTGTACGGGGTTGCAATGGAAGGCGTGTTTCTAGCAAAATCAAAAAACCTAGGCAAATCAAATTTCGAGAAACACTGGAGATCACTTCAGAAGCTGAAATGCTAGAATTTGAAAGGGAAGATGTCAAAGGGGAGGCAGAGAGAACACTGCCCTCTGGTGGATGGAAGAAGGCAGTGATGGGTCATGGGTGCCAACAGGACCAGACCCATAAGAAACCAATTAAGTGCTGTCCCCCACTCTTGGTAAGATTTCCTGCACAGCTTTAGGAATTTTTTTTTTAATGTTTTATTTATTTTGAGAGAGAGGGAGACAGAGTACAAGTGGGGGAGGGGCAGAGAGACAGGGAGACACAGA